GGGAAGCGATTAGGTTTAGTTGAGGCCATTAGGGTAGGGTTCTCATGATGGATTTGGTGTCTTTGTAAAGACATATGAGCAGGAAGGCAGGAAGGCAGCCATCTATAAGCCAGTTAGAGAGCTTTCCTCAGGAACTGAATCTGCCAGCACCTTGATCTTGGACTTCTCAGTCTCCATTATCATATATGTCAATTCCTTATAGTAAATTTCTATGTACATCTGCTGGAACCTAAGTTTTGGATTCCCTAGCCTCCAGGACTGTGGGAAATAAATGTCTGTTGTTTAAGCCTCCCAGTCCACCTGTTTTGTTATGGCAGCCTGACCTATGACATGGAGTGAACAGCAAGAACAAAGGCTTTGAAGAAGAGAAGAGCTTGGTGGCTTTCAGGGAGAGCAGGAGGGTGGTAGGGCTGGCTCTCAGGAGGTGAGACACTCTGTCCACATCACTTGGGGTATGTTTTCTGTGGAAGTCTGTTGAACATTTGGGGAGCAAGTGATATAATCTGATTTTCACTTTGTTACCCTCGGTAGAGTGCCATGGCATCACAGCTCACAGCAACCTCCAGCTTTAGGGCCTAGATGATTCTCTTGCCTCAGCCTCCCAAGTAGCTGGGATTACAGGCGCTGGCCACAATGCCTGGCCATTTTTTTGGTTGCAGTTTGGCTGGGGCTGGGCCTGAACTCACCACACTTGGTATATAGAGCTGGTGCCCTACCCACTTAGCCACAGGCGCTGCCCCCTGATTCTCATTTTTAAGATAGTTTTGCCTTTGGCATGGAAGCAAAGGATACTAGTTAGGAGGTAAGAGAGGATGGTGGCTTGAATAGGGAGACAGGAGAGCATGATGGGAAGTGATCACAGGTGGGTGTTGTTTGAAGGCAGAGCCCTAGGATTTGCTGATGGGTTGAGTGAAGCCCTAGGAAAGGGATAAAAAGGGGTGTGTATGTGTGTTCCCAGGTTAAGTCTGAGATCCTCTCAGCCTGGAGGATTTGATGAGGGTCGGGCACTGGACTCTGGATTCAGGGAAGAGAGCCATCTTAGAGCTCATTCCTTGGGATTCATCAGTAACAGGGGGCAGTATCCATGGACTTCTGCTGAATTCTTGAGTTACTTCTCTCAATGTTGTGAAGATGAGTGTATTGCTGTTTGAAAGAGTGAGAGTTGAAATTCACCATGCACTTACAACATGCCCAGGGCTGAGGACTTTGTGTACATAATCTCATTTAATCCTCACAATCCCTTAATATCACATTTTTGCAGCTTAAGGAAACTGAGGCACCGAGAAGTATGTTTTCATGACGTACTGTTTAGAGCAGCACTTCACCCTGGGATGCTGGTGACAGCCTGCCCGGCAGTACCACGCTAGGCTGCCTTTGCACATGAGTCTTTATGCCTGAGTAATCCTATCTTCCTTAGCATTTGCATTATGCACATCCAGGAGGTGGGTGTTGTAAAAAGAGTAATAATGGCGGACATGTATTCTGGGGACATAGGTTCAAGTCCAGCCTCTGTTATTTACGGGATGCTTTGTGTAGGGAGAACTAACACATAGAGTTCACGTGATGTCTTCCAGACAATGTTTGCTCTTGTCTGCCGTCTTCGCTTTGCCATCCGTTCCTTCTCCAGTTACCAGCCAGCCCCTGCCAGCCTAGCCCCTTCTAGCCAATTCTCATTTCCTGGCTGTGCTGGCCTGATTACTTCTAATTGTCTCTGACTGCTTCCAGCTGGGTCTTCTAGCTGGCGTTCTGTGGGAGTGCGGAGACAGTTCCCCAGCCATATGGAATGAGGAGATGGCAAAGGAAGAAAGAAGCAGCTGGTACAAGTCAACTGAGAAAGCCATTCGAGGCATCCAGCCCACTGTGATGGGGAATGTCCTTTGAAGGGTTAACTCATCCATGTTAGAGAATGGCCCTCACTGACAAGACGATTATATTTGTTGATGCCCAAAGGCAAGCAATAATGTAGCTAAAAACATTTTTAGAAAATCATTAGTAATGCCTCCCCCCAGGATTGATAGTCTTGCTTGTCAGGAGCAGTAAACTCCACTTGAGAACCAGTGAATGATTATTTCATGCCTTTATTCAGTAAATATTTACAGAACAATGACCATGTCTCAGGCACTGTGCTAGGTATTGCAAGGCAGCTAAGAATAAAATTAGACATAGCCCCTGTCCTCACTGGGTCTAAAAGAGAAGATATTCCTAATCAGTAGTACAGGACATAAGGGTGTGTGTGAAATGAGTGATATGTAGGAAGACAGAACACAGGGATGATTGGTGTCTTTGTTCACCGATGGGGAAGGCTTTGTGTGAAAGGAACATCAGAGATAGGTAGAAATAGACCTGAGATAGCAGCTGGGGCATGAATATGGCAGAGGCAAAGGTGTAGAGGTAGGAAGCCCATCCTGGATGAAAATAGCCAAAATGTAGTGCCCAGGGAAACTCCACAGGACAATAAGCCTAGAAATAGTTTGGACTAGTTAGTAGACAATCTTCAAGGCTGCACTACTGCTATCCCATCAGACATTTTCTGCATCTCTAATCTGAGGACAATACATTGTTTTGTTACACTACTTTGTCTCACATAAAGACATTTCTGGGATTATTCCTTATTAAATAAGGCCACTTCAGAGAATAAGACTTGTAGTTTCAAAATCAGTTACTAAGCTGAGGCAGGGGTAGGATTTGAACTTTTCCTTGGCATGCATCCCAGCTTAAGGAATTAACAGGGAATGTGAACCAAACCCAGGCGTCAGGCTTGAAAAAGATTTAATGGGCCTGGATTTTCTCTCTTCTTCTCCCCTTTTCTAACCCCTACGCTGAGAGGATAATTAAAAGAAAATCTCTATTTCCTTGTAAATGTCTTCTGCCATTTTTGTGAAACACTTTTTAGGCCATAAAGATACTTTGATGAATAGTCTCTAAAATTTGCCTTAAACCATAATAAATGAAATCTCTAAATTTACATAAAGAGGTAATGTCCTAAAATTGAAAAAAAAATCATATTCCATTAATACAACATTGGGGGACTTCCCAAACCTCTTGTGATAAAAGGCTCAGAATGGTTTTGACCCCACAGTGAGCTCCATGTCCCTCATTGGTTTGCTGAATATTTACTCTGCGGGCACCATGCTGGACACCATCCCCCTTCCATGTAACTGTTCTGTTAAAGTTTGTTTACGGAATTGGAGGTGTCCTTGCAGAAAATGTCCCCGCCGGGTGGGGGCAAAGGAGTGCCTTAAGCACAGCAAGAAAAAAAAAAGTGTATTTTTGGAAAATGGGAAACAATGAGACCAACAGAAAGCGCAATATTCTCAGTCCTTAACTGAGGCTGGTGACTTCTGACAGATGAGTAGCTGAATACAGCAGCATATTTAACATTAATATGAAAGTGACCCAGAGAAACAGGCATTTCTCTGGGTGACTTTTCCCAGATGGGTTAGAGGGTCCCTACACGACTGAATTAATGACGGCTGTCTAGCCGTCCCTCCATCCTACCTCCATCTCAAAGTATCAGGCGGGAAGATGCTATTTGTGCTTACTAGGGAATAAGCAATGAAAGGAACTTTATTAGGACCAAATCCTCCCTTTCAGCTGTGAGGTTGCATGATGAGGGCTGAAGTTTGCATTAAATGCAGGGACCTCAACAGGTAGCATTTTGTAAATGCCGCTCCCTACCTACCCTCCAGCTTCTCAGGATTCTTCATTTTCAGGTTGAGAAGACGTTGGGGATCCTGGAGAGGGTCCCTAGTCGTCAGGGCAGCAGCGATTGTTTATGAGATGAGCACAGTCGCAGCGCTCACAGAACAAAGCATCGAGGAGCAGCCAACGCTGGTCCACTTCATCCTGCAATCACGAGCATCATTTCAATGAAAGGCAAAGGTGTAAGCTACAGACAGAGGCAGCAAACGCCCTGGTTCCTACGTTGCTGCTGCTACTATTAGTGTTGCGCGGCTGCTCCTCCTCCAACTGCGTGCTAGCCGGGGCAGACGCCCTGCCACCTCCCCATCCTTCCTGCCACTCATCCATCATTCCATCCATCCCAGGTTCTGGGGGCCCTACTGTGTGCCAGAGCCTAGGCTGGGGTACTCAACTCGACCTATAGTCCACGGGGTTCAAGAGAGCCTCACTCTCTCCCTCTGGCTCCAGTAGGTGAGGCGAGTAGGGGATTTCACCGCCGAAAGGTCCAGAAATCCGGGTGAGAAGCGCAGCAGGAGGTGGCCCCACTCGAGCGGCCCGGGAGCGCGCGCCTCCGAGGCCGCGCAGGGTCCCCCTGTCTGGCGCTCAGGTGGCTCCGCCGCCCACTCCGCCGCTCCCCTCCCGGAGCCCTCCCCTTTCCAGCGAGGGTCGACTTTGGCTGTTGCGCGCGGGGAAGGAGGGGCTACGAGGGATTTGAAAGTGCACGGGCTGCGGAGTGGAGCTCGCATCTGTTCCCGCCGCCCGCGACCGGATTAAATTTCTGCAAATTCAAACTGAATGGGGCTTTCTTCTGCTGCCTTCCAGAGGGCGCCTGCAGCCCGCCGCGCGGTTCTCTCCGGCGGGAGCGGCCGCCCAGCGCGCGGCTAGGAACGAGCGAGCCGGACCCGAGCCCGTGCGGGCCAGACGGCGGCGGCACCCGGCTCCGGGACCAGGCACCGGGGCTCCGGGACCCAGGAGCCGGACCGCGCCCCTCTCCGCGCGCCCTAGCAGGGAGACTGTCATCAGCCTCCTGGACGGGACCTCGGGTAGGGTCCCGACGTCTTGAAAGGGGACCGGGCGACCCTCTCAGGAAGAACTTCTTGGGGGCGGGATCCCCGGTTCCCCTTTGCTTGGGCAGCAGCTATTGTCTGCGCGTCGCGCCGGCGGCGCGGGGGGCGTGAGCTGGGGCGCAGGGCGCGGAGACCTGGGCCGGGCGGGGCCGGGCCCAGGGAGGCGACGGGAGGAGTCGGGGAACCGGAGGAGGAGGAAGAGCTGCGAGCGCCAGAGCCGAGGAGGACTCGCGCGGGCCGCGGAAGAGCGCGATGCCGGCGGCGGCGGGAGACGGGCTCCTGGGGGAGCCGGCGGCGCTCGGGGGCGGCGGCAGCGCTGAGGACGCGGCCAGGCCGGCGGCGGCCTGCGAGGGAAGTTTCCTGCCGGCCTGGGTGAGCGGCGTGCCCCGAGAGCGGCTCCGCGACTTCCAGCACCACAAGCGCGTGGGCAACTACCTTATCGGCAGCAGGAAGCTGGGAGAGGGCTCCTTCGCCAAGGTGCGCGAGGGGCTGCACGTGCTGACCGGAGAGAAGGTGAGCCGCCCGAGCGCTCGGGCTGGGGGACGGGGGCCGGGGGGCCCCGCGGAGAGCACTGCACTGAGAGTCCGGCTGCGTAGTCCCGGGCCGGACGCCTCTGCCTGGCTTTCCTCCCAGGCTAAAAGAGGAGTCGATCCAAACGTGCGCTCACAGGTACCCGCAGCCACGTCACCCAGCCTTTCTCGATGGGCAATCTGGGGTCCGTTACCCCGCGGGGTTGCTGATTTACCCGCGAAGCGGTCTGGCTTAGCCCTTCTGTTACTGCAAGGGCGCCGCCTGGTGGACAGTAGCGCGGGAGTGGGGTGGAGTAGGGGGCCCCCTGCTCTCCCTTCCAGTAGGGGCGACAGATCAGTGGAGAGGCAGGACCCAAGGCTAGTGGACGTGGGCCATTATGTCGGGGAGCTGGAAAGCTGATTAGGCAGCCTTTGGGGGAGCTGAGTCGGACCTCCCCATCCTCCTGGACATTACTCTCCAGCTGTGGGCTGGGGCAGCACGGTTTCAACACATTGCCTCCCACCCCCGCTCCAAATCTTCCCCACATCCAGTGTCACCACCTATCCCACCCCATCCATTTTCATCCCTTCCCTCCCTTCTCCCTCTACTCTCGGTCCATCCTCCCAACCCTAGGGTGGCAGTTGCAGTAAAGACCTTGCTTCTGGCAGGTCCATACCCCAAGAGGTTGGAAGATGCCTTCTTATCTTTCTGGAAGAGGGGAATAGAGAGGAGGACCCCCTAAAGACCTGGAGGGGGCCCTCCCCAGCCTTGTTAGAAGCCTTGTGAAGCCTTGCCAGGTGAGAGGCAGGTAGATCTAGGTGTAACTTAGATCTGTGAGAAGATACCCAAGAGATGGTGACTTACTTTAGAGGCTGGGTCGCCCCAGGCTGGGAGCTGCCTAGTGCTTGAAGCCACTCCAGGCTCTTGTCCCAAACTCTTGTCCTCCCAGGCTCAAGGCTAGGGGTTGCTGAGCACTGGAGGGGGAGCAGCCCCTTGGAGTGGCCCATGGGTCAGGGAGGTGTCAGCAGCAGGGAGGGACAGGGGAGTTTGTCTTCCTAACCAAGCAAGTAGCCAGGGAGGCTCACCCTCTGCCCTCTGATCTGGGACCCTCTGCCCAGCCTGGGTCCATGCTGGGAAACCTCTTGTCTCAGGGCCAAGCTGCCCTGCCTGTCTGGCTCCAGCTTCACCCAACCTTTGGCCTCCCTCCTGTGTCCCCACTTTGTCCTGGAGTCCTTGTATGTAAGTACTGGCCCCCAACACCCTTGTACACAGCCATTCTGAGTGAGGTACTCCTTTATTTTGAGGAAGTGAGTAGTTTTTAAGAGTACCTCCTGCCCGAATTCTGTGCAAACAAGGAGTGTTCAATGGGAACTTACTGAATTGAGTAACTCTTCAAAGAAGAAAAAACACTGCAAACCTCATTCTAGTAGGAAGGGAGCGAGGCAGACTTTCCTCCTGATGAGTTGCCTGACTTACATGAGGCAAGTTGGTTCAGGGCACTGCTGTGAGGCTGCAGTTGGCTAATTACAGTGAGCTCACTTCTGTCCTTATGTAAATTCCTTTTGGCCCTGGTGGTAGAAGTTTATTTTCATTTACAACGTGTAAGATTCAGTCTGGTCATGCATATTTTCTCTCTAAACGCAGCAGAAAGAGGTGAGTCTTGATACTGACAACATAATTGCAAACATTACATTGTTCTCGCCTGTCCTGCAAAGCTTCCTCTGGCTTCTCTGCACTCTCCCGTGCTGTGCTGTGTTGGGCTGTGCTGCTGGCTCCTCAGCAGTGCATTTTTCCTCCATAGCACAAAGCTCTTGGCCTTGACTGAACTGCCTGGGGAAGGTTTCAGAGCTCTGTGCTGGGTGCACTGAGCATCCTGGAATGCAGGCAATTCCTGCCGAAATGGGGCCCAAATGAGGAGCCTCTCTGCATCCAAGCTGCCCACGCCCCTTTCTCTCCCATCTGATCTTTTTTTAAATGCTGAATCTCACTTTCTCTTTGCAATGAGACAAGGTATTAATTGGATATAAAATTATCCCCCCACCCCCCAACCAACCGATTGGATTTAGTTAAGGCTGTTGGTTCTTAAGGTAGAAGAGGAGGGAGGGGAAGGGCTGTTTTTATTGAATAACTAGGTTTGCCTGATGTGCTCTCCTCCAGCCCTGAGAATCAGTGCTCCAGGGACTGCAGGCTTCAGGGGAAATCTGGATTTCAGTTCACTCCTTTGCTGGCTTTAAAGAAACAATGGTGTCATTCATAGGGTTTATCTCCCAAATCCAACACCTTTAATGCTTAACTAATAGATTTGGGTTTTAGCAGATTGTAGAGATTAAAATGAGTTTTTTGTGCTTGACTTTGCCCAGGAAAGATTGCTGAGTTAATGAGTCCGCATCCCCACTCTTGTTTTGGGTGTTGCCTAACTAAGGCCAAAGCAAAGGTGAAGGCAACCTCAGGCTATTTGCAACTTTAAGTTCTTTTTAAAAGGTGAGCTAGAGAGAGGGTTTCAGCCTGTGGGAAGGGTTACTCAAGTGATACTCAAGAGAGCAGAGCGGGGTAGACCACTGCAGGAAAGGGGTCATCAAACCTGTCATGTCCCTCACAGTGGGGTGGGGGACTCACAGTGGGTGATGTGAATGGCCCTGACCTCATTACTTCCTCCTTTCTTGAGGTGCATACTTCACTGATTAAGCACTTTCTAAAGGACATGGACCACATAGGGAGAGGTGTGAAGTCATGAATACTATAGTGAGAAAAAGAGGTAACCTCCCCAGCTCACCCCAAGCTGGAGGATCCAGGGAAGCTTGGCTTGGGGGGATCAGTCCATGGAAAAGCTGAAAGAGGGGATGGAGAAAGGGAAGGTGAGGGGCCACCCCAAGATTGACCAGCTTCATAGCTGGATTCTCAAACCGTGCACTTTTAGATGATTTGTGCCCAAATCTGGAGTATTGCTGGTTGAATGCGTTTGGTGCCGAGGCTGTGTATGTGTGCATTCTGTTTCTCCTCGGTACACATCTCTGAGAAGCTTTGGGTGAAATCCTCCATGGTTTCCTGAGAGTCACTGAGTCCAGATGACAGAGGAGCCACTTCGTCCTGACTTCCATTTCCCCCTTCAACCCTGTCTTTCAAAAGACTCCTTTTGCCACCACTGCCTGACAGGCAGTATTTTGCCTGCTTTTCCCTTGAAGCAATTTGTTTGGGAGTCATTTGAATCTAGATGAGCCTTTTTTCTGCTTGAAAGGAAAGGATGGCTTTGGGCTGAGACTTAATTTTGTCCTCCTTTAGCGCTGAGTTAATGCAGTCACTTAGTCTGGCTTTAAAAAGAACTAGTTTACCTGGTCGTGTGAAACTTCTAAATGGTATATTCTCAGTTGGGGCTGAGTGTCTTTGAATAAAAGTAAGTTGATGATGGCTCAGCGCCTGTAGCTCAGCGGCTAGGACACCAGCCACATATACTGGCGCTGGCAGGTTCCAATCCAGCCCGGGCCTGCCAAACAACAGTGACAACTACAACCAAAAAATAGCTGGGCATTGTGGCAAGTGCCTGTACTCCCAGCTACTTGAGAGGCTGAGGCAAGAGAATTGCTTAAGCCCAAGAGTTTGAGTTGCCGCAAGCTATGATGCCATTGTAATTTACTGAGGGCAACATAGTAAGACTCTGTCTCAAAAAGAAAATAAAAAGTAAGTTGATGATTTGACCAGGGAAAAATGATCACAAAATCAGATTTTGAAAAGAAATGTCTTCTGTGGCTTTGAGACAAAGAGCTACATTGCTGAGCAAGACTCAGAGAGGTGTTTTCTGCACCTGACACCTATGAAATCACAGCCTCTGGCATATAATAGGTTATTACTGCATTTTTTAAAAAAAATAATGAAACATAGTTGGAAAAGGCTGATGGAAAGTAGGTAGAGAGCTGGTTTGGTAGGAAGTCAAACTGCAAAACGGGCAAACCTTCGGGGCCACTATTATCTTCTTTTATGATTAAATCTCTTAAGAGAAGAGTTGGGTACATAAAATTGATTAGTTAAGATATTTAAATATCTTCTTGTTCTAACATTTGGTTTTTAAAAAGATAAGCCTGTTTATCACTTCCACTGGAGCTATTTGGGGGCTAAAAATAAGGGTTCCCTGACTTAGTAAGTTGCCAATAATCATGCTCAGAGCACAGCCATGCCAGATACCTGGAGTGAAAGAGTTACTAAAAATACGATTTACTATGTTGTGCAGAGCAGGAAATATGACTAATTTTAGAGGTGGCCTTTTAGCAGATCTGTTTTTAGCACATATTTCTGAAACAAACAGGTGAGAAATCCTGTATTTTTTGAAGTGCTGGAAATTTAGGAAATCTGAGGAACAAGAAATGCTTAGAGAACTGGAAATTCCTATTAATCCTCAGCAGGGCCGTCTTGGCAAGAAGGAGGCGTTTGAAAAGTACCTGCTCTGCGTGCCCTGTGTGACAAGGCAGTGCCTGTAATTTCATAGATGGCGCGTTGCATTTGCGGGCACATTCTTTTGAACTTCCTGCCCTGCCTCCTCTCTTTGAAATAGTTGTGCATGATGGAGATTGGCACGTAGGGCTGGGTTCCTAGTGTTCATTGATACAGGTCCCAGGGACTTCAAAGAGTGCTTTGAGTCTGCATAACAGTGCAGAGTGGTGCCCGCGAACAGGAGTACAACCCTACATTTTCTCTGCAGGCGCTGAATCACAGCTCTATTTGTGCATACCTATTCAATGCAGGTCTGCCAGAGGATAGCGTTCTGCAGGGACATCTTCCCTCCCCAGGGTCATCTTCTCCTCAGGTGAGGAGTGGTAACCACCTGTCCCCTGAAGAGATGGATGGGTTGGCTGTTCTTTGTGTGGGAAGGTGACACAGGCACAAAGTATCATTTGCCTTGGGACATAAACCCCCTCTTGATTATTTATGGTAACTAAGAGACATGTTTTTTTGGCTCACTGAAACCCCTAGGTAACTGAGCCTTATTTGGGCTAATTGCTGAAACACTGCCT